CTGAATTTTATTGTTGTTAACAACCATTTGATCAATAAATATGAGAGATGCCCTCTCAAAAAAAAAAAATTTTTGTAGCACATTCATGATATGATATGAAGGATTTATTTTGAAAGGGTACATATTTTAAGTTTTCTGCCTCTAGGATTATCTTTCTACCTGTTTCTAAGATTTCTCATTGTCATGTATGTCCAGTTTAACATTTGACCAGGTCTGTTGGCAGTGAACCATTTGAATATAGAGTGTTCAAAATGATTAAAGTTAGGCATCAACCATTTTTTTGTTGCCATATTCCTAAATTTTCTGATTATTGAGCAGTATAGATGCATTTCCCAAGAGTCTTCTAGTCTTCTACCATGTGACTGAGCACAAAAGTTCTAGAAGTATAGTGGTCAAGATAAGGTATACTTTTGCATACTATTGGGGAGTTTAATTCCCCCTTCCCCAATTCATCCTGTTCTCCAGAATATTTGGTATTGGCAGTTTACAACTTTTAAATTCTTATCTACCATACTAGAAAGCCAAAAGTGCCACAATTGAATAGATCTACTTATAAATGTAGGGATAGTAAAAATCAGTGAACATAGTTATTTTCTGTTTGATCAGACTCTTGATTCAGTCATGGAATGTGAGTGGTTTCTATCAGCCATTTTAGATTATTGATATAGATTGTTAGAGTTTTCTCTTTATTCTAATTCATTTGGTTGATGCAATTTTAAATACAATTTTAATTTGTAGTTTTTATTTAACTATTTAATTTTTCAAATAATGAAAGATTTTTCTAATTATTCAGATTATAAAAAACTGTCTATAGCTTTTACACTATTACTGAAAGCTTGAAAACAAAATTCTACAAGGGTGCTTAATTTCTTTAATGTTATTATGTAAAATGAATATGTTCTTTTCAAAGCTTTGTCTACCATACTCTCTGTATTGGTGGAATCACTCATCTATGTGCTACAGACAATGCCATGGATATTATAACACCATCAGCATTTCTTAAAAACGTAAGTGATTTCTTATACCATTTTAAGGACTTTTTCAGTTATTGAAATTAAGAGTTCTCTGTTTTATAGTTTATTAGAAGTAGTGTCACTAACTAAAAGCAGATCATTCATCTGTCTATAAAGCAGAGCCACTAATGACCTTCAGAGGTCATTTCTTACCTTTATCCTTCATCTGCCTGCCATTTCCACACTTGCCCCAACTCTAAAGCAAGGTCTGCAAAGATAACCTGCTCAGATCTATCAGAATCTCTCTTTATATTTACTTTGTTCTTTAAAAATAAGAAAGATATTAAGCTTCACTAATATTTAATGTATATTTTCAATAGCATATGTATTTAATTTACAAATAATTATATAGAAGGCACTTCTGATAGAAAATATAGATCAATTGTAAGAGTTAAATGAAAATAAATGTATTTTTTAATCAAAACATATTATCTTTAGGAAAAGTTTTACCTGAAAACTGTAAGCAAATACAAAATATGGTAAATAGAGTAAATATATATATATATATATATACACACACACACACACATACGCACTTATCTAAATACATGAGATTTTATAAATTTATTAAAAGGTAGTTAGCCTTCTCAAAAATACCACCTGTTGTTTATTATCACCCCAAGTTTAATCTCCAGCCAGAATAAGGAGACTTCATAAAAGGCACCCCTAAAGACAGACTAGGGCTAAACTATTATTGTGGTAACTTGTGGCTCAGATAGTATGTTTGTTTCTTATTTTAAAAAGTAAGTGATAGTAATCTTCAGGTTTTTTCACAAATATGTAGTTCAGGATAAATGTTTTAATAAAAATCTGTTAATGGAAAAATCAGTCATCTGTGACAAAACTTACTAACTTTACCACCTTTCCAAAACCAGATGACACAAAATTGCCAACAACATATTTTTTACCAGTTCTTCTAGGGATTACAACATTTAGTGCAAACAGTTGTCAGAATTCGTTCTCAAGACTTTGAAATGTCCTAAAACAACCGTATAGGGTTTGAAAGATAGTCTCATGACATTTAGTTGTAATTGTTTTATTATTGTTGAGTGGATTTCCAGGGTAGTGGCAGGAAGGGAAAATGAAAAGCACTTACTTTGAAAAGTATCTTGGATCCCTGTCTTTCCTTGTCTGTGAGAGGCAAACATCTGTTCTTTCTCATAAGTCCTTAGATAAGCTATAGAATCAAGGTAGTACATGCAGTCTCCTGTAAAAGGTTGTGGTCTGTTGTGCAACAGTGAAGACTGGCCAGTACAGGTTTCATAAATACTGTATCTTTAATAAAAAGGGCAACCTGTCACCAAAATACTAGAAATATGGTGATTTCTTTTCTTTCAGGTTTTGGCTAGATTTTGATTCAAATAAATATTTGCTCTGTAATTCTTTGTTGAAATTATCTACATAGGTTAAACATTTCCTTTAATTCCCCCAGGTTAGTGATACATTTCTGAGAAATTCCTTGATGTCACAAGAATATTTTTCTCCTTCAAATACAGTTGCTGCAGATTTTCAACAAGTATTAGGAAAGTATATGGTATGTAACCTCCAACTGTACTCCTAAACATTGTCCATATTATAGCTGATAAGTTAGTCAGGAATTATGAGTTAAGGGCTGTAAAGATAATTGAGAACTAAGAACTTACATCTATAAGGAATGATATCCATTATATACTGATAAGAGAATAAAGCAAGATAAAAAGATTATGTATAGTATACTATCACTGATTTACCATTCTTACATACAGCCATCTAAGAACAAAGGAATACATACAAATTTATGTTTTGTTTTTTGCTTATAGTAAAAAAAAGGGGGACAGGAGCAAGCAAAGGATAAACCAAAAACATCAAATGGTTAGCTTTATAGAGTTGGGAGTCAGGAATATAGAACCTAGACCTCTCTGAATGAAACTTGTTTTGCAAATTTGGCTTTGCAAACATGCAAATATTTTACGTAATTGTAAAATCCTATTAAATGTTTTAAAAATAGTCCCTACTAAGTGAAATAAAACAGTCACAGATGACAAATACTGTGTGATTCCACTTACAATATGAGAACCTAGAGTAGTCAGATGTATAGAGACAGACTTATAATGGTGGCTGCCAGAGCCTGGCAGGGAATGAATGGGGAGAAGTTACTGTTAATGGATACAGACTTCGGGAAGATGAAAAAAGTTCTGTAGATGGCTGGTGTAATAGTTACACAAAATATGAATATATTTAATACCATTGAATGATAGTTCAAAATCATTAAAATTGTAAATTTTATCTTATGTGCATTTTACCATAATAAATTTTTTTTTATTTTTAAGGAGTGATCTCCAAAACTCAAAAAAAAAGAAAATTTGTGTATTGAGTGCATAGCTTGAAATAATGTGTGTGACTCTGAAACACAATAATTTGATTGTATATTCCTAGTGAGATTATACCCTAATGAAAAGAGAAATAAAAATAAAACTTATTTTCAAGTGTCTTATTAGTTGTAGTAACATTAGTATTGCTATTCTGAAATCAGTTCTTATAGATACACTACTTTGAGTCGTACTAAGTAATCACTTTAATGTTGGGAGGCAAAATTTTCAGCAAGAAGAGTTATAAAGTCAAAGAATTAAAACTTTATAATCATAAATTATAATTGAAAATTAAATGTTAAAAATATTTATTTGAAAATATAGTCCAAGATTATTTTCTCTCAAAAAAAAATGTACTTCTGGTAGAGAGAGGCTCAAGATGGCGGAGGAGGAAGACAAGACAGAAACCTCCTCCTATGCACAAACCAAGGCAGCAAATACAGATAAACCTGAAAATGAACTGAAGACTGCAGAACAGATCACCTACACCTGGGGAAGAAGAAAAGACCACGCAGGAAGGGTAATGCGGCAGAGCTGTGATTGAGCAGAACCCAAGCCCTCCCCCATCTCAGTCCATGGGTAGGAGGAAGAGGAACAGAGTGGGGAGAGGATGGGCACCCAGAAACATTGCACACCTGGCCCTGGAGAGCCACTCCAGGAACATGAGCCCATATTGCATTGTGTTCTGGTGATTAGCAGGACTGGACACCAGAGACAATTGGAATACTCTGTGAGGCTGAGAAACCAGCTGCTTGTGGAAGAACCTTTGGTAACCACAAACCTAAAGCCTATAATACACAAAAAGGTTTGAAAAGAAAAATCCAACCACAACACTAAAAAAGAACTATCATACAACAAGAGAAGAGTATAAAGAGAAAGAAAAGAACAGAGAGGAGCTATAAAAACAAACAAAATAATAAAATGGCAGTAAGTACATGCCTATCAATCACCTTAAATGTAAATGGACTATGCACCAATCAAAAAACATAGAGTAGCAGAATTGGAAAAGAAACAAGACCCATCTATATGCTGCCTACAAGAGACTCATTTCAGATCCAAAGACAAACACAGACTAAAAGTGAAGGGAGGGAAGAAGATTCTTCATGCAAACAATAGGGGAAATGAAAGCAGGACTATCAGCAGGACTTGATTTTAAAATAAAGTAACAAGAGACAAAGAAGGATATTATATAGTGATAAAGGGGTCAGTCAAACAATAGGATATAACCATTATAAATATCTATGCACCAAATATAGAAGCACCTTAATATGTAAAACAGATAATAACAGAATTAAAGGAGGAAACAGATTACAACATATTCGTTTTAGGAAATTGTAACACGCCACTCACATCAGTAGATCAACCAGACAGAAAAGAAATAAGGAAACAGAGGTGTTGAACAATACATTAGACCACATGGACTTAACATATTTATAGAACACTCCACCCAAAAGCAAACCAAATTTGAAAATACATCAAAAGAATCATCCATCATGACCAACTGTATTTAAACCAGGGATGCAAGGATGGTACACTATTCGTATATCAATCAATATCATGTACCACATTAACAAAAAAGGATAAAAACCACATGATCATCTCAATAGATACTGAAAAAGCATTTGACAAAATTCAACAGCCATTCATTATAAAAACGCTCAACAAAATAGGTATAGAGGAGATGATGTACCTCAACATAATAAAGGCCATATATGACAATCCCACAGTAACATCATACTTAATAGTAAAAAGCTGAAAGCTTTTCCTCTAAGATCAGGAACAAGACAAGGAGATCCACTCTCACCACTCTTACTCAACGTGCTAGAGGTCCTAGCCACCACAATCAGACAACACAGAGATAAAAGGCATCCAAATTGGCAAGGAAGAAGTTAAACTCACTATTTGCAGATGACATGATATTATACATACAAAACTCTAATGACTCCACTAAAAAACTATTAGAACTAGATTCAGCTTAAGTTTCAGGATACAAAATTAATACAAAGAAATCTGTTGCATTCCTATATACTATCAATGACTAGCAGAAAGAGAAACCAGGAAAACAATTCCATTTACAATTACATCAAAATGAATAAAATACCGAGGAATAAACCTAATCAAAGAAGTGAAAAACCTATACTCTGAAAATTGTAAAACACCCATGAGAGAATTAAAGAAGACACAAATAAAATGGCCATCCTGCCTAAAGCAATCTACAGATTCAATGCAATCCCTACCAAAATACCAACAGCATTTTTCAATGAACTAGAACAAATAGTTCTGAAATTCATATGGAACCACAAAAGACCCCGAATAGCCAAAGCAATCCTGAGAAGGATAAACAAAGCTAGGGGCATTATGCTCCCTAACTTCAAGCTCAACTACAAACCCACAGTAATCAAGACAATTTGATACTGACACAAGAACAGACCCATAGATCAATGGAACAAAATAGAGAGCCCAGATACAAACCCACAAATATGTGCCCAATTAATATATGATAAAGAAGCCATGAATATACAGTGGGGAAAAGACAGGTACATAAATGGTAAATTTGGGGGCAAAAAAAAGTATTTCCTAGCCTATTCAACAAATGGTATTGGCAAACTGGACACCTGCATATAAGAGAATGAAACTGGATTAACTCCATACACAAAAGTAAACTCAAATCAAAGACCTGAATGTAAGTCATGAAATCATAAAACTCATAGAAGAAAACATATGCAAAAATTTCTTGATTATAAACATGAGCAACTTTTTCCTGAACTCATGTCAGGCAAGGGAAACAAATTCAAAAATGAACAAATGGGACTACATCAAACTACAAAGCTTCTGTACAGCAAAGGACACTATCAGTAGAACAAAAAGGCATCCTACCATATAGGAGAATATACTTGTTAATGACTTATAAGGGATTAACATCCAAACTAAAGAACTCACATGCCTCAACACCCAAAAAACAAATAACCTGACTAAAAATGGGCAGAGGATCTGAACAGACACTTCTCCAAAGAAGAAATTTGAATGACCAGCAGCACATGGAAAGATGCTCAATATCCCTTCTCATCAGGGAAATGCAAATTAAAACCACAACCTCACACCAGTTAGGATGGCCAATATCCAACAGACAAGAAACAACAAATGCTGGTAAGGATGTGGAGAAAGGGGAACCCTCCTACACTCATGATGGGAATGTCATTTGGTGCAGCCATTGTGGAAAGTGGGATGAAGGTCCCTTTAAAAAAAATAAAATTAGAAATATCTTTATTCAATCCAGTAATTCCACTTGTAGGAATTTACCCAAAGAAAACAAAATCCCTGATTCAAAAAAATACATGCATCCCTATGTTTATTGCTGCTTTATTTACAATAGCCAAGATATGGAAGCAACCTAAATGTTCATCAGTAGATTAATCGATAAAGAAGAGGTGGTACATATATACAATGGAATATTATTCAGCCATAAAAAAATATCCTGCTATCTGCAACAACGTGGATGGATATATAGAGGGTATTATGCCCAGTGAAATAAGCCATACAGAAAGACAAATACCATATGATTTCACTTATTTGTGGAGCATAGATACAAAGCAAAACAGAATGAACAAGAACAGCAGTAGACTCATAGACACTAAAAAATAACTGGTGGTTACCATGGGGAAGGGTTGGGGGGATAAAGGGGCACACACAAAAAAAGATAGCTATTAAATTTTCAGCCTTCTCTTCCTAGGGCTTGACATTTTTATGTTACATGTATGCTAAGTGAGTTTCTCTAAATCCCTTGTGTAAGGGGCTGTGACTTTTGTGTTGTATATTGCTTAGGTACATAAATGGTTAATTTGGGGGCAAAAAAAAAGTATTTCCTAGCTTATCCCATTGAAAAACTCTAGAAAGAATAACCACCCAGTTGCAGTGTGCCCCCTCATGTCTAGAAAATAGTTTTTAATTACCATTTTACACTAAAAGAGGCCAGGCTTGATTGCAGATATGAGGCAGAAAAATGAGTCAGAAACATTTTGTCATACCAGAAGCAAGAAAGCTATCATAGTCTACTGTACTTATATCAAAAGACTTTAGGAACCAACTTGAAGAAACTATTAATAGCCAATAATGGAATAATTTGAACATCCAAAAGAATAACCGCAGTGGGTTGTAACACATCAAATATATAAAACTCTATGAGATG